ACTCTAGCTAGCAAATATAATCCATAAGACTGTAAATTCAATACAATTTAATCCATGACCAAAATGGGATATTATTTTAATTCAGATATTGACATTTCCAAGAGTCGATCCTGCATTGCTGTTTTGTTGTTTAAGTATACAAATTCATTCCCACTAAAACCCATAAATTCTCAAACTACAGTCAATACAAGCAGAGAATGAAACTTCCCCTCAATGTATAATTAAAGGAAAACCTCCATTATTTAGAAATTTAAATTAAAAAAATAATAATAACAATAATATTAGTCTCCTGGTATTGACTGCCAACTAAAGCAAATGAGGAAATTTTAATCCCCATTGCTAGTGTTTCAAGTATAAAGTAATGAAGGATATTCTTGTTAAGGAACAATAATGAGCTCTAAGTTTGGGGTGGTGGTTTTTAATCACTAATGAAATTGTGAAAACTTGACATTTTTCTAATGTTAATCTGTGAGGGAAATGGTTAGAAAACAACGATTGTACGAGGCAGCATTAAAGAAAAACTGTTTGTCCTAGACAAGAGCAGAGAAGGAACGAGATCATTAGATAATGACAGTGAGGGCTGCACTGTTAATGAGGCGTATGCAAAATTTTTCCTAGGTGATTGGCTGACATTTTTCTTGCCAGTGATGTTATTATTCACCTTGTAAAGTGAAGTCATTTTACAACATCGGGGTGTAGTATTAACTCTGAAATGTCCAAGGTTTTTCCCACTGCTGAACAATCTATTGTTTAAACTAAACCTATTGAATCCCCAACATGTACAGACTTGATTGCACAGAGGTGCAAACCCTCCACCTGCCCATCCAGGCTTCATGAAAGGCAGGAGAGGGCAGGCAGGCATGATGCCAGCCTCTGTCCTCCAGTGCCTGACTGACCACTGTCAAATATGCATGGAGAAAAGCGATCTCTTTTTTACCTTAATCGGATGCTCAGTCACCTACTATTTTTTTAAACTGGCCAAAATATGAAAAATGTCCTTTTAAAATTTAAAAGAATTTCCAGGCAAAACACAAGGCACCTATTTAAATTAGAATTTCAGATAGCAACATATAGTTTTTAAGTACAACTAGATTCAAAACACTGTATGAGATGTACTTGCATTAAAAATTTATTTGCTAACTGGTCCAACCACTATGGAAAGCTGTGTGGAGATTCCTCAACCTGCTAAAGATGGCGCTTCCATATGACCCAGCAATTCCACTCCTAGGTATTTACCCAGAGGACACAGAATCATTAATTCAAAAGGGCACCTGCATCCCTATGTTTATAGCAGCACTATTTACAATAGCTAAGCTTTGGAAACAACCCAAATGCCCAAAAATAGATGACTGGATCAAGAAGATGTGGTACATATATACCATGGAATATTACTCAGCAATCAAAAAAGATAAACTCATGCCATTTGCAGCAACATGGATGGAGCTGGAAGGGATCATGCTCAGCGAAATAAGGCAGAAAGAAAAAGAAAAATACCGGATGGTCTCACTCATAGCAGGAATTTAGAAAACCTAAATAAGGGACAAGGAAAAAGACTAATTATAATAAAGTAAATATCAAAATCAACAAGCAACTATAAACCAGAGACACACTACAAGGGGATGGGGAGGGGAGGAGGGATTAGGGTCAAAATAAGGGGGGGAGAATTGTATGGGGAATATAACCAAGATGAAAATGCATACATTGTGCAAAAATGAAAAATGATGTGAAAAATATATAAAAAATAAAATTAAATTAAAAAAATTTATTTGCTGCTTTTCTGAAATTCAAGTTTAATGGAGCATCCTGTATTTATTTTCAAAATCTGGCATAGCTGAGCATTCAAGGGTATAAGAGAAATCCTCAGGGTGAGAGGGGAAGCAAAGAAACCAAAACCAAAGATCTGCACAGCTGGCATGTGGTGGGTGCTGCCCATATGTCCATCCTCCTTCCCTTCTTTTTCTTTTTCTTTTTTTTTTTAAGATTTATTTGTTTATTTATTTATACAAGCACTGGGTCAGTCAGAAGCGCAGGAGGGTGAGAGAATTCACCAGAGCCAGAGCAGGGAACAGAATAGGCAGACCGATGAAATACACTGCTGAGGGGAGCAGCGGGCAGCAGGAGAGGTCTGCGCGCCATGTGGGACCCTCCTCTGGTGGCCAGGGATCGAACCGGCGCTGCAGAGGCTGCGGGCAGCTTCACAACCCAGCGCTCAACCGCTGCGCCACCGGGGAGGCCCTTTCCTTCTTTTCTTGTCTCTCTACTAAGTTTTAAAAGAATATCAAGAAGTCTATGCCCCTGTCCTCAGTGAGCAAACTGATAACAAAACAAATATAGCCGCATAATAAAAATTGGCAGTGCCAGTGCCAGAGAGAGGGTTAGAAGCTATTTCCTCCAGAAAGAGGTCGAGTTGAGCATGTGTCCTTATTTAGTACACACACATCCCTGAAAATACCTCTAAAACACAAAGGCATGAGGTGAAGAAGGATATTGCATGGGACTTCTTCACTATTCATCATGTTTCTCAACACATACTTAGGCATGCAGCTTTCCATTCAATTCCCTAAATTGTTTCTTACAGAGAACACATTTTTCATTTTCAGAAATTATAAAATAAATGTGTTAATGATATGAAGACAGACATAGAGACCACTGGAACAGAATAGAGCCCAGAAAGCAAGCAAAAAAAACCCTCTTGCATGTGGTGAAATGATCTTCAACAGGAATGCCAAGACAATTCAATAGGGAAAGGGCAGTTCTTTCAACAAATGGTGCTGGGAAAAGTGGGCATCCACATATAGAAGAATGAAGTGGTAGTCTTACTTCATGCCATATGCAAATATTAACTCAGGATGGATCACAGACACAAACTTGAGAGCTAACACTCTTGGAGGAAAGCACAGGGGAAAATCTTCTAACATTGGACTTGGCAATAGTTTCTTGGCTATGTCACCGAAAGTCCAAGCAACCAAAAAAACCCGATGGATTCAAAGTTTAAAACTTCTGTTCTGAAAGGACAATCAACAGAGTGAAAAAGCAACTCAAAAAATGGGGGAAAATAATTGCAAATCATATATCTGATAATTGGCTCATATCTAGAAATGCAAAAACTCATACAAGTCAACAGCAACAAAAAAATAAGCAACTTACGTTTCAAATGGGGAAGGGACTTGAATAGAGAAGTCGCCAAAGAAGATGAACACATGAAAAGATATTAAGTGTTGTTGAATATGTAGAGAAATTAGAACCACTGTGCACTGTAAAAGCTGATATAGTGCAATGGTTCTTCAAAAAATTAAAACAGTAATTACCATGTGATTCAGCAATTGGTCTTCTGGGTATAGGCCTAAAAGAACTGAGAGAAGGATCTTGAAGAGATATTTGTACACACATGTTTATAGCAGCATTATTTACAGTGACCAAAAAACGCAACCAACCCAAGTATTGATCAATAAATGAATGGAAAAACAAAATGTGGTCAATCCACACAATGGAATATTATTCTTTTTTTTAAGCCTTTGAAAAGAAGGGCATTCTGATACAGTATCTTCAGTGAAATAAGTCAGTCACAAAAAGACAAATAATGTATGATTTCACTTATATGAGATACTTGTGGCAGTCAAATTCAGAGAGACAGAAAATAGAATGCTGTTTGCCACAGGCTGGAAAGGAAAGGCAATTTATTGTTTAATGGCTGTAGAGTTTCAGTTTTGCAAGATGAACAGCATTCTGGAGATTGGTTACATAGCAATGGGAATGTACTTAACACTACTGAACTGCACATACACTTTAAAAAGGTTAAGATGGCAAAGTTTATGTTGTGTATATTTTACCACAATTAAAAAGGAATACACAATTAAAATGTCAAAGGGTAAATATGGAAATGTTTCATGATGTATTCTTTCCAGCATTAATTTTTAGGTTCCACTTCTCTCCTTAATCATTGTGCATTAAGTTCTGTGTCTGTAATTTCCATGAGATCATGGGCTGGGCCCCATGATTTCGGCACACAGTAGACTTATAATAAATCTTTGATAGCTGACTGAAAAAATTAACATAATAATGTTTGGTTAATCTTCTTTTGAGCCTCAAACATTAATACTCAGTGCACTTGCTGAGCATAATCAGCAAGCAAAGGAGAATCTCTATCCTGCAGGAACATCTATTCTAAAAGACAGAAAAGCCTGAACAAGAGAACTCTATTTAATTCTCTTAATGAAGTGCGCAGAGGACTAGTGGCACTTAATAAACTCTTTACCTTCTGGGCCTTCAAAGGCAGAATGATTCCGGTATCTAAGTACTCCATACCCTGCTCCTGCTCTTCCCCCTACTGTCTGCTTTCGTTAAGTTGTACTAATGATTGTCATTTAAATTTGCAATGTACACTTTGCTCAGGAACCTCGGTGCACACTATTTATTGCTCCTGCTAGTATCCTCTTGTCTCAACCCAATAGTCTGGAGTCTGCCATCTTTTGTGATTGCTACCACCTATGATCCTCACTTTTTAGGGTTTTTAAAAGTCTATTATTCACATATCCTCTTTTTTAAAATTTTTATATAATTTATTTATTTATATATATTTTATTTCACTGTTCATTTCTGTACAACGTTTGCTTTCTCCTCTCAGTGTAGTCCCCAAAGAATTCCCACCACCAATTCACCCATGCATCATTGCCAACATATCCTCTTTTCTTAACAAAATCTAGTCACCAGTTCTAAGCTGTATATCTGATGAATTCATCGATATTTCACACTCCACTTGAATATCTCAGTTACCTCAATATCAACGTGACCCAAACTGAATTCAAGGCTTTTACCCACTGGGCCTATTCTAGCCTTTGCAATTCTGATGAATGGCCTCTGTCACACAAGCAGAAATCTAGGAGTCATTTCCATCACCTACTTTTCTCACATCCTTAACATGGACTTATCGTGGAATTCTTCTGTTGCTCCATTCTAAATATCTCTGCATTTGCCAGCTTCAAACTGCATTTAGTACCAACCTTGTCCATTAATGTTTTAATAGGCTTTGTTATTTGGGTATGGTAGAGTCAACACAGCAGAAGACACTGTCTTTGAAAAGAGTCTATTCCCTTCACAGTTCTGAAGAGAGTACACATGTTACATCACAGGGTTGGGGGGGGGGCCTCACAAGGAATCCTTGGGGTCTGTCATGAGGTAAAGAGAGAGGGAGAACTGTGGGCAAGAACCTTCATTGTGGTTTCCATGGGAAGGAAATGGCAAGGCAGTGTAAACAAGTTTAGGAGTGGCTAGTTTGAATTATTCGAGTGGCCTCTCATGGAGCTCTATTTCTGGCCCGTCATGTTGCTGGTTCCGGGCAATTCGAGCAGGTGGACAACAGCAGGTGTTTGCTGCTTCTTCCTGCTGAGAAGACCTCAGTGGCAAGAGTTTTATTCCAACAGAAAGATTTACTCTTCTCTAAACTCCAGTTATATGATTTAATTTCATTAGGAAAATTAATGTTAGCTAGTTTTATTCCATCAGATGTTGCTACCCAGTTATGCATACTTAACTGCATCACTATCATGAACCCTGATGTTGAAATGATTGTATTTCCATATAAAGTTTTCAGGTAGATAATTTAAATTCGAATACTGACTCTTGCAAAGGTGTTCTGTTCAGGAAGTCCTTGTTTCTAGGAACTTTGTGAACTAATATAACCAAAGATTTTGCTTTCCAGTGTGCCTGACAATTCCATCAGACTCATAAATACCCTCAAGACCCAATGGTAGCATGTTAAAAACTCATTTCAAAATGAAATTTTTCCCACAACATTTAAACTGCGGAAAGAGGATATGAGTATGTATGTTTTATTTCTTTTTTAGTGATGCATTATCATCTCTTTAAACCAAACATTTGTATAAGACGTGGCAAGTGAATTTATTGATTCCGGATTTGTTGCAATTTCCTTTACTAACTTGAAATTTTCAATTCATTTTACTAACTGAACCAGTTTACAAGTAATATGGTTTGCATCCTATATATCTGTCAAAGGCCAGGATGACAACATAATATTAAATCAATATTAATGGGCTTTGTGGAAAGACATATGAAGCCTGGTTGAAAACAAAGTTCTTTTGCAATAACTCTAAATGAGTTCTTTCATCACTAAATCTTCAATTATTTCTTCTTTTCCTCCTTCCTTCCCTCTCCCCTTCACTTTCTACCAACCTTCCTCTTCTCACTTTGTCTCCATCTTTCTCCCTTCCTTCTTCAATATCTGTGTCTGCCTCTCTCTCTCTCTCTCTCTCTCTCTCTCTCTCTCTCTCTCTCTCTCTCTCCCTCAACCTTCCATTCTTCTCTAATATGAATCTATTCTTTCAGCTAGTCAGTCATTCAGTCATGAGACAAGAACTTACTGAGTATTTTTTCTATGGTGAACACCCTATGCATGAAACAGTGAACATGACAGAAACAGACCTGTGAGGGAAAGTCACAAATACAAAGGAGTGACCAGCCATCAGGCAATCACACCCCAGTGTGGGAGATGCTGTGGCAGGAAAGTGTAAGGTGTGTGAAAGTCAGCACACAGGAAGGAAATTAACTGAACCCAGAGATCACAGGAGACTTTCTGAAAGAAGAAACATCTAAACTATGGCATTTAGTCAGACAGGCATTTCAGTTAAAGTTCAACAGGTAAATAAACAGAATAAACAAACAAATAAATAAATACACAGGTTGAGAGTCGAGTTGAAACTGTTCTGGCTATACCCCATTTCTTCTTGAACTCTGTTTTATACTGAGGAAGTCACCTCAATTTGGTAGGCCTTGTCCCCAATGTCTAAATGAGGGAATGGCACTTCATCAACTCCTCGCAGGCTGGGGCTCTCATTTCCAGTATCTGAGTCTTCCTAGTCCAGATCGTCATTATTTCTTGCCTCTCCCACCTGCCTCGTTTCTCCTGGCGCCAATCCATTCTGCACACGGTGAGCACATTTATTGCTCGATGGCACCCCTCTGCCCCTAGGACAATGAGTGCCCCTCAAGATAACAACTCATCTCACGCTGTGTTACAGCCCTACCTCAGCTCCCAGGATGAGTCTTCCAGCTGGCACAGGCTGGGGCACACCCACCCAAAACAGAAGGAGCTCATTCCTGCTCCTTCTTGCTAAGGTGTCCTTGGCCTCTTCTCCCACCTGGTCAATCTTCTAAATCCTGAAAAGTCATCTCACAACCTAACTTTCTCTATGAAGGTGCTTCACGCCAGCCTGCATTTATTTCTCTTTCTCTCTCAGCACCTGCTGTTGCTTTTATTTTGAAGCCTCCTATTTATCTTCTAACACTACAATTTGCGATATTTTTTATTTCCCTAACAATATTATAAAGTCTTTTAAATCTTAAAAATCCATTTATTTACCTTCCCTCCTTATTGCTCTCTCTGGACCATCTTAAGCCCGTATTACCTACTGAATTGAGTGAAAATAAAAACACAGTTCTTTATCTAGTTCCTAAAAGGCATGTGGGCTAGCCCTAGAATAAAAAGACTTCTAACAAACAAAATATTCCTACTCTCCAATCTCTCTCTCCTTTATTTTCAAGGACCACATCCACGAGTAGATGTGATCTAGTGGAGAAAGCAACTGAACTAGGAGCTCAGCATTCTAAGTTGAATTTCTGTCTCTACCAGTCTCTATCCAGATACTGCTAACCTAGTTTCTCAGTTTCTGTGCCACAATTTTCTCATCTACAAAATGAAGGTCATTGGTCAGATAACATTTAAAGTTCCTTTTCAGTCTCAGCTTGGGGACATTCTTATAGTATAACCCCCAATATCTACAAACAGAGCAGTAATGGTTAAAGAGGGAAGAACTAGTCAGTGCAAGGAAGAATGTGACAAAAGAGATTAATTATATTACAAATTCAATAGACAAAAATGAATTTGAAAAACTATTATAAGGATAAAATAACAGTTCATCCTTTGAACACATTATCCTTCCAGGAAGTTAGTTAACAACACTAGTCAATAATCAAGTAGCTTAAACTTTCATTCTGTCACAGACTCTTGTGAATACATATGTGGGTTCTTAAAGTGATTATGAAATTTTCAAGACCTTGGAGCAGTTCTGGATTTACTGCTAAAACATCCCTTTGTCAAAGGATGAAGCTGCATTGTAAGACTTAGAAAACATCACCCTATTGGGACCTCCCCAGTGGCGCAGCAGTTGAGTGCTGCACTGTGAAGCTGCCCACAGCCTTTGCAGCGCCGGTTCGATCCCTGGCCACTGGCAAGGGTCCCACATGGCGCGCAGACCTCTCCTGCCGCACTTGCTGCTCCCCTCAGCAGTATACTTCATCAGTCTGCTTGCTGCTCCTCTCAGCAGTGTACTTCATCAGTCTGCCTGTTCTGCTCCCAGCTCTGGCTTTGGTGAATTCTCTCACCTTCCCACGCTTCTGACTGTACCCAGTGCTTGTATAAATAAATAAATAAATCTTTAAAAAAAAAAAAAGAAAAGAAAACATCACCCTATTGTATTTGCAGGATTAAAGTTTTGCTGTTTTTTGTGTTTGTTTTAATAATTCATAACAATAGATTTCAAACTGTATATCTTATAATCACAGATCTTGATGCACCAGCAGGAAAACAATGCAACAGAAACAAAGAATTTTCAGGGAAACCATGGGGTAGTCTAGGGAACACCTGCAGGTGCCTCTTGGATACACAGAACTTGGGGATTGCTCCTACTGGGATTACTGAGTAGAATTACCAAAGAAATTCAGAGCAACGTTTCTTAAAAGTATTTATTTCTGATACAGAAACATATGTAGGCCTATTTCTTACTATTTTCAGATATATAGCAGCTGTCATATAACTATATTTATTCCCCTTTCATTTTTTCCCTTTTTTTTAGGTGCTCTTTAATTAATTAGAAAAGGGAAATGTGACCTCGCTCCTGGTGATGTCTCTCTTTTTGGACTACTTGACTTTTTAATTCCTCTCCCTCATTATTTAACTCTGAGCCCTGATTTATTCATCAATTAATAATGTAGATAAGGTATCCAGCATGATAACCTGAAATCTCTTATTGACTAAGTTATTCATACTGATCTCATTCCAAAAGTAACATGAAGTAAACACTTGCCAATAGTAGCAGTTGGAAAAACATTCATTTTCTTTTCCCCTTCCCTTTAATTATTCCTAATTTTCTTGAGCAAGAAGGATAAACTGAAAAGCAAGAGGAATTTGGGAATATAGGCAATGAAGGTAGAACACTAGTAATGATATAGATGCCCCTTGACGAAGTTTCCTTTCTCATCTGAGAGAAGGACATTCTTTCAGGAGGTGCAGGGCATCGGAAGTAGAAAGAGGACACTGCAAATTAAAAGGAGGCATATTGGCATGTGCGTGTGACTGGGATAAAAGCAGAAATTATAGGAGGATGTTTTCATGGCTAGCGCAGCTGTCCATCTGAGAGCTCAGCCACCCAAGCCAAAATAGTTTTATTATAATTACATTTGAAATTTTTATAGCCTTTTTATACTGCAAATAGCCAACCAAATCTTCATCGGGCAGGCTTCATGGCTGTCTGTAAGATTCTCCCAGCTGGGCCATTCTAGTAAGGATGATAAATTGGGAATCAGAAAAAGAGGCTGAAGTGTGCTGGGACACGCCAAATTCCCTGTCCCCACGTAAAATGGGTGGGTTATGTTCCCTTTCAGCTTTAAATTCCCATAATGCTACTTTCCTTCCCATGCAAACAGGGTACAATCAGCCAGCCTCTGTCAGTACTTAGCTCCACAAGGAGGTCTTGGATCCTGACTTCTTCATTGTCTGAATTTTTATCTCTTCGTAAGGCTTTCTTTCATGGATTAAACAAGTAAAGTATTAAAAGACTGAGCATTCTTTCTTTCATTCCAAAGAGTCTGCACATTTTTGGCTGACTGTCTTTACAGATATATGATCATAAAATTTGATCAAAAGCCAACCTGTGATGAGAAGTCGCACCATTTACAATTCAGACTTCAAATGATTAATATTCTTTTTTCCTCATCACATCATCATGCATTATAGTCCTAATCTATAAATAGGGGGGAAACAGTGTCAAATAAAAATTTCAATGTGATATTTAAAGTCTTCCATAATAGAGCCACGTAACTTTCTATGAGGATGACTGGGTCACAATTATGAAAAGGGTTGTCTGTAAAAATACAAATTCATTCTTCCATTTTTGGACACCTTTTTATAACTCACTTTAGTAATGAAAATTATATCTCACATTACCTATGCCAGGGAATTATTTTTTCAAAAGTAAATTTAATGTCTTTCCAAAATTGCGTGATTTGCCTTAAATCAGGAAAGAGGCCAAGATTTACCTACTGTGCTAAGTTAGCAGCTCTCCCAAGAAGTTAAATTTGAGGTCAAATTAAAAGAAATGTCATTTAGAATGAGACCACAATGGAAAACCACCTCTTAGTACCTTTTAAGTTGGGTTTTTAATCACCCCAAAAAATAAACAAAAAAATGCTTATACATAGAGGTAAACATAACATACCATAGATGGGATAATATTGTGTCCATTAAAATAAATTTGGAAATATTTCCAAATCACTATAAATTTTACAAATGTATATTTTGATAAATAAAATGTATTTTGAAATATCAATAAATTGAGATATCAACTCTAATGATTTTGAAACATTTACTTGATATATTATTAATGGGAAATCTGGACCAATTCCCATGTATTTCAACAAATTCCAAAAGATATAAAACGACTCCATTTATAATTCAAAGCCTGGCGTCACTGCAAGTAAAACAGTTTTACTGTTTAATATTGCAAATCATTAATGCTATCAGCATATATGTCTTTGGAGAATAGATTCACATCCTAAGATGAACCAACCTCCATTTATTGCAAGCAGAAAAGTAAAACATGCCAGGC